CATTTTACAGATGAGGAAACTGAAGCAAACAGGGTTAAGTGACTTGCCCTGGGTCCGAGGCCAGATCTGAACTATGGAAGATTAGTCTTTCTGACTTCAGGCCTGGAATTCTGTCCAAATAAATTGTGGAACATGAGCTAGTAGGCTTGCAGCTATGAGCTGTAAGAAGCAATGAATATGATGAAAACAGAAACATATAAAGATGTAAATACATGATCCAAAGTGAAGTCAGTAAACCAGGAAATATATACAGAATGACTTCAACAATGTAAATGGAAAGAACAAAAAATCAAAACAATTAAAACTTAGTGTTATAAAATTATAATAACCAAGTTCAGCCCCAAAGAATGATATGAAAAAACATCTCCACTCACTACTTTGCAGAAGTGGTGGTGCACTGGAATAAAAGACTACATATAATGTCAAACTTTTTCAATCTGTTGGTTAATCTTACTGAACTTTTTTTCTTCTTCCTCATTACAAAGGATGGCCCCATGGGAGTGAGTAGGAGGAGAGGCTAAGAGGAAATGTAAATGATGTAAAACAAAAAGGTAGCAATAAAAACTATTTTTAACAATCTGTCTCTTGTTCTATTTTTCAATTCGTTTTCTCCTTCCCCCGCTTTGAATTTCTCTCCCCACCCCCCTCCAAACACTACCTAGTTTTCAACCATTGTATGCAGCAGTGAATGTCATTCGCAGGAACCAGGGCTCAATAGACCAATGAGTTTCTCATTTGTGTCATGAGGGATTTCTTCCTTCTATAACTTGTATCACCCTCAGCATAACATTGAACGCCTACAATTAACTGAAACTTCTGTAGCAGTGAGTGATTAATGGAAACACAGGTATTTATACATAAGTCTTTATGTACTTTCCCAGTACTCATTCTCTTAGGTAGTCATTCTCAGAACTCCCACAACTGACCGAGGGGGATTTCCTCAAGAACCTAGTGAGAATCCCATTTGGTGCTCATGGAGATGAAGTCATATTCAATCATGGCTATGCTTTGAGAGATAGTGTGATGCTGCAGAAAATATGAATTTAGAGTCAGTGGATGTGGGTTCAAGTCTCAGGTCATGGAGAATATAAGTTATACCTGGATGAGATTTTAGAGGTCTTTGGATTATCAGATTTAGGAGGAAGGAAAGCACTGTCCCAGAACGCAATGCCCACGGACAGAAAAGCAGGATTGAATGCAACCTCTTTGACTCCAAATTCAATACTTGTTCCAGTAACCTTTTAAGAAGAGTTCAGCTTTCTTGGTGGACTTATTATTTTTTTATCACAGGTGAAATTTCTTAGGATTCTGTAAAGATCCTTTTTCCATAAGCACTGTCAGGAAGATTAAGGAGAAAAAAACATCTGTAACTAGGTTGTTTCCCCTTGTTGCCCTGCCTTTGATCAGTGATGTTTTTATTTTTGCTGTCACTGGCCAGATATGTCACTAGAGGTCACCCCATGGCTTTGAGCAAATCTACCATACGTACAGGATAAGTAAGATATTTAGAGTAGGTGAGTTACAAATTTCCACTGTGAGGAACCTGTCCATAGGGGATGCCAAGTAAGCAAAATTTGGCTTACTAATGGGAAAACAAAAGGTGTTAGGGCACGTGTCCTGAAGGCTGTCATTCATTTTCATCAGCAGACACTAAATAAAAAATATACCCACAAACCCTGTGTCTACTTCTTATGGGGCACTTTGCTAGGTACTAGAGACACATAGCCATGTCAGACGCTATCCCTGCTTACTTTTTAAGTTCCTGGAAGAGGATTAGGAAGAGGAGGAGGAGAAAAAAGAAGGATGACAATAACAATGTTATTAGTAAAAAATACAAAAACAAAAAACAAAAATACCAAAAACACATTCAGCAAATATAAGGGAGAAAATGGGGAAAATCAAGGGAAAATGCAGTTAATTGAGGAATAAGCAACTGTATAATGCTTAACTTTTGCAAAGCACTTTATGTACATTACATCCATTGATTCTGGTATGTACACTGTAAGGTAAGCTATGCCATGCCATTTTCACAGATGCATAAACTGAGGTTTAGTGGTGTGAAGTGAATCAACCAAGGTCACATGGCTAGGAAGCATGAGAAACAGGATATGAACTTACATCTTCCTGAATGGAAGCAGGCACTCTATCTTCTACACCACAAAAAAAAAAAAAAGTATTTTTTAAAAAATAAATGGCATCCGCTAAGCACCAAATGAGTGAACCAGATTTTAAGGATTGATTAGTACAAAGATAATCAGTGTGTTATATTTGAAATAGCATGAGATCAGGAGTCAGAAGACATGAGTTCAAATTCCAACTGACTTATTATCCATCTGAACACAAACAAAAGACTTTACTCTGGGCTTCAGTGAAATGAAAGATTTGGTTTCAATGATCCTTAAAGTTCATCCTGCATCTAAATCTTATGATATAATTCATGAGATCATAGATTTAGAGAGAAAAGGGACCTCAGAGGCCATCAAGCCCAAAATTCTCATTTTATAACCTAAGAAAGTAAAGTGACTTTCTCAAGGTCACAAAATACCAAGGCAGAAGGAAGGTTTTGAACACAGGCCTTCTGACTTCCAAGAGCTAGCATTCTTTACACTGTATAATACTGCTTCATTTAGGAGGGGAAGAAGACACCTCAGGAAGATCAACATTCTTCCACTTTTTTCTCTCCAAGCTTAAGAGGGAACTTAGGGTGAGGTGATGGATAGCTCTTCCCTTCTCTCACTTCCTTTTCAATGGTGAGTTGAAACAGCAAGGACAATATAAAGGCCTCCTCGTTCTCTAGAAGCCGTCTACTAGAAGCTCTTTTTTTCAGAGAAAACAACTAATATTCCGTGTCATTTTGTTAAATAATGAAATAGATGAAAAGAAAAGCAAATTTACGTTAATCAAATTATTAACCATTTTTTTCTGTTTATGCCATAATAAACAGAACTTTGAGAGAGATAAGTTTATGGGCACAATTCTGCCAACCAAGGGAAAGATGATATTTGGGCCATCTGCTGGTTGGCCCTGGCCCAACCCATGCAGTTTTCTGATATGAGTGAGGGCAAGTATCTGGGATCCAGGATCTTTCTGTATTTTTCTTTATGTTCTTAACCCTCAGAAGAGATGTGAGCAATTTGTCCTGGGCTCACATCCATTCAACTTTGAATTCATGTGGAATTAGGATTCAATGTGGGGATATTTTAGATAAATAAAATTAACCACAACTGGTTCAAGCCCCCACTCAGTTTCTCAACACCTACTCCCAAAGGAATAAATGCTTAGCAATGTATGATTAGTGCACTCTGGTTATGGGTTTTCTTGAGGGTACTAAGGTGTAACTCTAAGCTTCTTGATTCTTGCCAAGACCCTAGCATCCTCCTCAAGTATTATTATTTACTAATGAATATTAATGATAATATAATCATTTCTACATCACTTTAAGGTTTATAAAGCCCTGTATCTATTTTATTTGATACACAGAGCAAGCCTGGGAGATTGGTGCTATAATCATCCTCATTTTACAGATGAAGAAACTGAAGCCAGGATAAGTGAAGTGACAAGACTGGGTTCCACACAGCAAGTGAATGTCTGAGGCAAGATTCTAACTCAGGTCCTACTGATTCCAAGTCCAAACACTCTATCCTCTGCACCAGAACCTCCATCCTAATCCTCATTACAGTGAGTTCTGGCAAGGAAATCACACACACAAAATTATTTCTTCCGCAGCGACCCTGCTCCTATGGAACCCTTCTGGTTTCTGGCTGTGGGGCCAGATCTACGTGGTTCAGTGGATGGAGCACCGGGCCTAGAGTCAGGAAGACCTGATTTCAAATCTGGCCTCAAACACTTACTAGCTGTATGACCCTGGGCAAGTCACTTAATCCTGTTTGCTTTAATCCACTGAAGAAGGAAATGGCGAAGCACTCCAGTAACTTTGCCAAGAAAACCCCACAGCGAATATTAGCTTGCTGCGGTTCATGAAGAGTTGGACACAAATGAACGACTGAACGAAAACAATAAGATGCAAGGTACAGAGGTCAGTAAGCATAGGGTAGTCCTACCCCTTTTGAGGTACAGGAACGCTGCTTATAACAATTCCAAAGGCTTGATGTTGCTTGTACTCTCCAGAAAAAAAGCCAGTGGTCATTGTTTTCCTTTGTATAATCACCAGTTTGGAATTTTAGCCTAAACGTATCCATATTCACCCTAACTGTTTATATATTGCACTTATCTAGTCTATACACATTTCCAGATGACCTTGAGGTAGAGAGTCATAGACTCCTATGGATCCTCTGAGGAGCAGGTCAAGCAGGAATGTCATGTTTTCTTCTACTATGTCCAGTTTCCACTTTTATCTGCTCAAAGACGAAGAGCAAAGTGTGTGGGTCTCACTGATTATGTAGATAGCAAAGTCTTTGAGAAAAGTCTAAACCATTCACCTTCATGTGAGCTGTTGATTGTCTGCTCCCTGCCTTCCTTGTCCCTAGCAACATTATTTTATTTCTGTTGCTCTCAGGCTGTTTTCTCTTGAGTCTTTATTTTCATAAATTGTAGCTTGGTCTATTTCTATTTTTTGCTAAAAGGTGAATGGTACCCTATAACATTCACTAGCTGTGTGACTCTGGGCAAAAACAAACAAACAAAAAAATTCAGTAATAGCATCATAGCTGCCCTCCCCAACACTAAACCAAATACAGCAACAAAATAATAATAATTTAAAAAGCAACAAAACTCTTCACGTACCTGAAAGAAGGAACAAAAGAACTATCTCTTTACACATCCTCAGATGTCACATTTATTTTCACAATTCAGTGCAATGAAAACAAAATCCCCCAATGAGAAAACTACCAAGTAAGTTTGGCTGTGGCAGTCTCCAGCAACAGCTTTCTAGCTTCCATCAGTCCTGCCCATGTTCTTGAGGCATTGATCAACTATCTATCATCAGCAAGAAATGTCCACCCAGCAAAGATTACGAATGTATCTCAATGACTGGAGGCTGTATTTCAACCTACTCAGGGCTTGCAAGGCAGCGTTGGGGATTTTGTTTCCACTGCATTGAATTGTGAAAATAAATGTGACATCTGAGGATGTATAAAGAGATAGTTCTTTTGTTACTTCTTTCAGGTACGTGAAGAGTTTTGTTGCTTTTTAAATTATCATTATTTTATTTCTGTGTTTGGTTTGGTGCTGGAGAGGGCAGATATGATGCTATTACTGAATTTTTTTTGTTTCTGTTTTTTGGGCTTTTTTGGCTAGGCAATGAGGTCATATAGCTAGTGATTGTTATGAGTCTGAGGTCGAATTTGAACTCAGGTCCTACTGACTCAAGGGCAGGTGCTCTATCCACTGTGCATCTAGCTTCCTCTGTTATTAACTGAAATTTTAACTATTCCATGTTGTTTAAATAGCAGATAAGAACAGCAAAATTGGCCTAATTAGACTGTCATTTGTTCAGGCAAGTCAAAATAACACTGTCTTGTAATCAATAGGAAGTTCACAGTAAACCTGCAAAAATTTGCCCATAAAACCCTAAATAATCAGAAAGCCACTTCCTTAAAAATTCAGATTGCACCTCCTAGAAGAAGCATTGTAGACACCAAGTCCCACTCCTTCTAAGGTATTACTTTGAATAACTTTATGGTGCTGGCTTTCATTCATGTAGAAAGTAAGTTCCTTGAAGGTAAAGACTGTTTAGTTTTTGCATTTAAATTTTTAAAATTATTTTATTTTGAACTTAACAAAATTAAATGAGTGTTTCCATATAGAAAGTAAAAAAGGCTTGTACATGAACCTGTAAGTGTCTACTAAGTAAAGTTTGCTTTTCCTTTTAAGTATACATATAATAAATTTAACATGAAACTTTCAAAGCTATCCTGCTTAATTGTGTTTTCTTGTGGCTTACCTTCTTCTATTTTCTGCTGGGCTTATTTAAAAGCTCTTCAACAACCCTCTTTTCTTTTTTTATAACCATGCTATTGCTAGTCTTTCTCTCCCCCCCAAAAAAGAAAAGGTAATTATTTCAGCAAATAAACATAAACAAGTAAAACCTATTCTCACATTAGTCATGTCTGAGAATGTATGTCTTATTTTGTATAAGGAGGTGAGCAGCATGCTTTATCACTGGCCCTCTGAAATTTTGATTGATTATTACATTAATCGGAATCTCAAGTTTTTCAAGGTCGTTGTCTTTCTTCACATGTATAATCTATATCAAATTGTTTGCTTTCTCAAGAAGGGGGAGGGAAAGGAGAAAATGTGGAAATCAGAATTTTTTTAAAAAATATTTTAAAAATTTTGGCATGCAATTGAGAAATATTTAATGACATAAAAATATATTGGGGAAAAGTTGTTTATCTTTACAAAGTTGTTATTGTATAAATTATTCTTTTGGTTCTGCTCACTTCATTCTGTATCAGTTAATATAAACCTTCTGAAACCAAACAATTTCTTACAAAACAATAATTACATTCCTGTATATTCTCACATAGAAAGGCAGCTAGGTGGTACAGTGAATAGACTACTGGGCCTAGAGTCAAGAAGACCTGACTTCAAATACGGCCTCAAACATTAACTAGCTGTGTGACCCGAGCAAGTCACTTAACCCTATCTCAGTTTCCTCATCTGTAAAGTGAGCTGGAGAAGTAAATGGCAAACCATTAAAGAACAAGGAGTTGAACACAACTGAACAACAGAACAACAATAACAATCCTATGCCATTGCATTCATATAATAAACTTTGGTCAACTGGTCCCCAGCTGATGAGCACCGTCATAGTTCTGTGCTATAACAAAAAGAGCTCCTACAAATATTTTTGTGCAAATAGGTCCTTTCCCTCTTTCTTTTATCTCTTTGAGGCACAGACCAGCAGTGGTATCTCTGGGTCAGAGTATACGTGATTTAGTAACTTTGGAGATATAATTACAAATTCCTTTAAAGAATGACTGGAACAGTTCACAGTTCCATCAACCATCATTCATCATCCACTAGTGGATGTGTTTTCCCAGGGCCCCTCCAGCAATTATCATTTTTCATTTTGGTCATTTTTGCTGGTCTGATAAATGTGAGATGGAATCTCAATGTTGTTTTAATTTGCATTTCTTGCATTATTAGAAATTTGGGAAATTTTTTGTATGATTGCTGAAAGCTTGCAATACTTTCTGTTCATATGTATTAGAAAATGTCTCTTTCCTGTTAAGTATTTGAATCAGTTTTTCATAGATATCATATGACCATCAGGGAAACATTTTAGAAAGATTTTTTCTCACCAGTTAACTGTTTCCCTTCTATTTTTAGCTAACTGCATTGGTTTTGTTTGTACAGAAACTTTTTTTAATTTTATGTAATAAAATTGCTTGTTTTATCTTGTTATCTTTTGTATTTCTTGTTTAGTTATAAACTCTTCCCCAATTCATAAAAGAAAAAAATGTTTACTTCCTTATTTTCTAATTTATTTAGGTTGTATCTTTTGATGCCTAAGTCACAAATATACCTGGAATTTAATTTTTTTTTAGTATGAGATTTTAATCTAACCTCAAATTTTAACCAGACTTCTTTCCAGTTTTCCCAATAGTTTTTTTTCAAAATGTGAATCTTAACCCCAAGATTTGGGATTTTTGGATTCCCCAAACACTGAGCTATCAGAGTTGTATATCTAATATGTTCTACTACTCAACTTCAGTATTTTTTTTAACCAATGCCAAATAGTTTTGAAGACTTGAGACCTAGTATTACTAGTTTCACTTCTTCTCCACTTTTTTTTTAGTATTTCCCCTGGGATCCTTGACCTTTTCTTCCTCAAGATGAATTGTTATTTTTTTAGTCCTATAAAGTAATCCTTTAGTAGTCTGATTAGTATAGCACTAAATAAGTAAATTAATTGAGATAGTATCATTATTTTCATTATATTGGCATCACCTATCTCTCCAATTATTCAATTCTGTTTTTGTTTATGCAAATAGTGTTTTGTAGTTTTATTCATATCACTCTTTTGTGTGTTTCATCAGATAGACTCCCAAATATTTAAGATATTTTGTACTTATTTTGCATGGAATTCTTTTGTTCTCTTTGTTGGTTTTATTAGTAGTATACAAAAATGTTAATGACTTAGCTAGGCTCCTTTTATATCCTACAGCTTTGCTGAAGTTATTGTTTGCATTACTTTTGTATTTAAGTTATTTTTATTAAGTTATTGTTCCAGTTATCGTCATTGTTATTATATGTAACAGATATATGTTATATACAATTATAAAATTATATATAAGTTATTATCCTAGTCTGACTCTTCATGACCCCACTTGCGGGTTTCTTGGCAGAGATACTGAAGTACTTTGCCATTTCCTTCTCCAGCTCATTTTATGGATGAAGAAACTGAGGTAAAAAGGGTTAAGTGACTTGTGCAGGGTCACATGACTAGTAAGTTTTTGAGTCCAGATTTGAACTCAGGAAGATCAGTCTTCCTGACATGTCACTCTATCCACTCTGCCATGTGGGCTGGTATTTGTTCTTTAAGGTTTTTTTAAATACTCTACCATGTCATCTGCAAATAGTTATTTTTTTCCTCTTTATCAAAGCAAACTAGCAATTTCTTTTTTCTTATATTATTGCATTTCTAGCACTATATCAAATAATAGTAATAATAATGAACATCCTTGCTTTACCCCTGAACATATTTGGAGCAGTTTCTAGTCTTTCTCCATTACATATGATGTTGGCCTTGGGTTTTAGATAGATATTATTTATTATATTAAGAAAAGGCCTATTATTCTTCTCTCTCTGTCACTCCCTCTCTCTCTGTCCCTTGGCAGAAATGAGCTTTGTCAACTATATTCTAGCATCTATTACTTTAATCATGTAGTTTTCTTTATTTTTGTAACCAATGTCTATCATGTTAGTAATTTTTAAAGTTGAAACATATATTCTTAATATGAATCCACCATGGTATAATATTTATTATAAGTGGCTGTAGACTTTTTTCTAATATTTTATTTAGAATTTTTGTGTCAACATATATTAGTAATATTGGTCTAGTTTTATTTGTATTTTTCCTTCTCCCTGTTTTAGTTATTAAGAAAATATTCATATCATAGAGGCATTTGAGAGAATCCCTTCTTTTCCCATTTTGCACACAGTTTACTTAATATTGGAATGAATTATTTCTTAAATATTTGAAAAAATCACTCATAAATCCATCTGCTCATGAAGTTTTTAGTCCTTGGGAGTTCATTTGTAGCTTGGTCAATTCCTTTTTTTCTGACATTGGGTCTTTTTTTAAATTATATTTCTTATATTGTTAATTGATTTATTTTACTTTTTGCAAATTTCATGTATTTTATCTGTTATCAGTTTCATTGGTGTATAATTGAGCAGAATAGCTTCTTGTGTTTTCCTTTATCTCTTCTTCATTTGATGGAAATTCTCTTTTATTTTTAATATAGGCAGTTTGGTTTTCTTTAAATTAAAAAATTCAGAGTAGCTAATTATTGATCTATTCTTTTCATTATGTTTCTGAAAGTTCACGGTTTTATTTATCACTTAAATGGAAATTTTTGCCTTCAGTTTGTTAATCTCTGATTTACATAATTCTGATTTGATATTTAGTTGGGATTTTTTATTTGTTGCTTTTCTAATTTTTCTTAGGTATATTCTTAATTCAATGATTATTTCTTTATCTCTTTGGTTGACAAAAGAGTTTAGAAATATAAATTTTCCCCAAGGATTCCTTTAACTGTATCTTAAATGCTTTGGTATGTTGTTTCATTATTGTCATTTTTTATGAAATAATTGCTTCCGTGATTTGTCCTTTTATACAATAATCATTTAGTATTAAGTTATTCAGTTTCCAGTTAAATTTTAGTTCTTCATTAATGGCTTTTTATTGACTTTTTAATTTCATTGTGGTCAATAAAGTATATGTTTAATATGTCTTCTTTTTTTGCATTTGTTTGTGAAACTTTTATGCCTAATAAGTAATTTTTGTAAAGGTGCCATACCCAACTAAGACTATATGATTCTTTTTGTTCCCATTTAGCAATCACCAAAGATTAATCATATCTGACTTTTCTAAAATTCTGTTGATCTTCAACTTCTTTTTTATCATTTGATTGTGGAATTTAAAAAGTTCAATT